ATATATATATACATATACAATCTATATGATAAAATAATAATAATAATGATAACTATATAAAAAAAATAAATAAAATAAAATAAAATAAAAATAAAAGTATAATATATTATTAAATTTTATAATGACCATGTGCTAGAGTATGCACACGGTCATTTAAAATATATCGTTTGTCATCCGATCTGTTCAATGTTTTTTTCATCATCACAACAGTTTTAACTCGATGTTTGAACGATCGGATGCAAGCGTTTAACCTGTAAGACGTGTATGGGTTGTAGGATGGCAATGACGTTGAAGTTTCATGGCCGTCGTTTGTAGAAGTTGTTGCTGTTGTTGTTGTTGTACTCAGTCGACGGTGTATGCTATCTAAAACAACTCGACTGCAACGCATTGCCACACGTTTTTCTCGTACAGTCTTGTCATCGTCACCGCTATCATCATCATCATCACCGCAATCATCATCATCATCAACATCGTCTGCCTCGAACAAACACCGCTTATGGTCGGCCAGCGTCAGATGATTTCTGATCACGTGTTGTCGAATCCCCTTGGCCTTGATTGTCTCCACGTGCTCGATATCGTAAGCGTAAGATTTCGCCCGGAGCGCTACGAACTCGTACATGACGTGACCATCGGTCTCGTCCGTAAACAGTCCGGGTATTTTCTTACGCTCCGCCGTGTAACATGGGTGATCGTGCGGGAGATTCGACGTGTCCATGCGACGCAGCAAGTCAGGGTTGTTCGCCAGATCGCTATAGAAGTCGTCGGTCGTCACGTGATAGACTAGTGAATCTGAAACACGTTCGGAGAAAATATTTAAAAAACCGTAGCGTTGAATAATAATAATAATAATAATTTATTATTATTATTAGAGCTAGGATTTTAATGACCTAAAAAATACACAAAAATGCACTAAAAAAAATGCAAAAATGACCTAAAAACTCTAAAAAATGAACTTAAAAAATGACCAAAAAATGTACTTAGATGAGTGAAAAAATTTATTTTTAAAATATTAATTAATAATTATGATTTATGAATAAAATAGGTATAAATTTGACTTGTGAATTCAACCGCTTCCTGGTATAATTATTCTGAAAAATCAATAAAATCATATATTAAAATAAATTAATGAAAAATATGTCATATTTTTTTACCTGTACACATATTATTGCATTGCACAATTAGATGATTCTTAAGATTTTCAAACAGGAAGCTGCGACGGCGGTCAGATAAAATGTTTTTATATGAAGAAAAACTTCGTTCAACGTCCACAGAAGTAACAGGGGCATATTTGAAATGAACCATATCATTTAAAGTTAGGTCTTCCGGAATACCATCTCTACTTGTATTTTCACCGTCCAGAATAGCAGATATATTTTTTAAAACTTTGAACCCATTATTTTTCATCAAAACATTATTCAGTTTGTTTGATATTGTTTCTCCGATTACATTAGGAGCAAGGGACAATGTAGTTTCAATTTTTTTAATTGTATTAATAGTTTCTGATAATAAGACTCCAGAAGCCTCCAGCTTTTTTATTTCTGAAGGAATGAAACCAAAATTAGATTTTATATAAATCAAATTAGCCTCTAAACTTGATTTAGACATAAGTTTTTTTGCTTCTTTTATATTAGTCGAATCATCATGATTTAATTCAAGTACAACTTTTTTTACATAAGAAAAATTCTCACAATAGTAATTTACAGCATCTAGCCAGGTTCCCCATCGCGTGATTACGGGTTCGGGTGGCAATGGAATACCTGGAGCAAGAGTTTTAAACATTTGTGTACGATATGGTGATTTTAAAAATATTTTTTTTACGCAACTTATAAGTTTATTGACATCTTGAAAATTTGATCTTATTTCTTCCGCAACTCTATGAATTGCATGCGCCACACAGGTTACGTGAACCATTTTTGAATACAGAGTGCGAATAGCTCTTCCTGCTTTCACCATATATGGGGCAGCATCAGATACAAAAATAAGGACATTATCGTGTTTTATTCCTTCAGGCCATAATGTAAACATGGCTTTATCGAACGCTTTTGCAATGGTTGAATGATTTGTTTTTTCCAAGACATCAGAATATAACAAAAATATTTTTCCTGAATTTTCTGCTTCCAGGGTACCAATAACTATATTTACTACATAACGGCCTTCAACGTCTGTCGTTTCATCTACACTAACCCAAATTTTTTTATCGCCTACATAGTGTCTAATATTTCGTATTGTATTTAAATAGCATTTTTCAACATAATTTTTACGCAATGTAGACTCGTCTGGGATTTTAAATTTTATATATTTTTCTAAAAAATTTCTAAAATTTGTGTTATTTAATTTAGCAAGTGGAATATTAGCTACTAATAATGTTTTACAAAGCTCTAAATTAAATGACGATTGATCACTATTATTTGTTAAATTAGATATTAGTACTTGATTATTTTGTTTCACTTCATTCAGTTTTCGTTGAATTCCACGAGCATGCTTATCTCGACTGATGTGCTGTTGAATTGTAAATTTCTTTTCGGAGGCAACTGCAATATTACACACTTTACAAAAAAGCACCATACCGTCCGTAGAAAAAATATCGGCACCAAACTCACTCACAAAACTACGTAAACGGCTTCCTACTGTTGACTTAATTTTTGGCATTTTTAAAGTTTTAATATTAATTTTTAATATTAGTCGTAATATTATTTGTTCAGTATACAATAGTGTACAGATCGGTGTAGAACCATATAGGTACGTGTCGTATTCACTACGAAAGCTACTATTGTATACCTATATAGTTTTGGGTTCGTTCGATATGTAATCTTATCTTACTTACTCTTAGATTACTTTTTCAATAACAATGGACTGGAGTAGGTAATTGCCTATAGGTACTAATTGGGATAACCTTTACAACACGTATTAAAAAAGCTTAAAATAAACAAAAATTAGTTAAAATACACAAAATGAACGTAATATTTGTAATATTACGTAAAAATGACCTTAAAAATGCAATAAAATGCATTTAACACAAAAAATGCAAAAAATGCAAAATAATGCAAAATAAAAATTACATATTCTACATTGTTAAATCACGAAACAAATTTAGTTTTTGGTTAGAATTGTATAGCACTTAAAGAAAAAAAATGCAAAAGTCACCAAAATCCTAGCTCTATTAATAATAATTTACCGGTATCCGTGTACAGCAGCTCGATATCTTGTTGAAAATGTCGTTTCATGACGTTATAATGATAATCGTACATCAGCGTCTTGCTTATATCGAGCACTGCGAAACCGATGTAAATCGGTTTGCAGAATTCGATAGTTTCATTGTGCAAAGACACCGCTGTAAGATTCTCATTATAAGTGGTACAATATTTAAAAGTAGGACGATTAACGAGTTTCATAAATCGACGCTCGCTAGACACGAGCTCCATATGCATGCGTTTGCGCATCGATTCCATTGTTTTTCCTGAAAAACAATCGAATTAATATATAAATATATAATATAATATATTATATATTATATGTATATAAATATTATAATTATTATAGTGATTAGTAGTGTTAGTAGTAGTTGTTGTTTTTGTTGTTGTTGTTGTTACCGAACACGGCGTTGTTCATCAGCTTGATAAAATCTCGTTCAAATCCGTTAACCGCCCTCTTACGCATTTCCGTGTTAAGTCCTATGTATTTAGCCAACCACGGCGATTGGCGGAACTCCAAAACCCGATGCACCTGTATACGGAACAAAGACGGTTATTAATATTATTATATCGTGACAATGGTAATGCGCGCGCGCGCTTATGACATACTTTATCGATAATCAGACCGTTGGCAATGGCCTGTTTCAGATTAACGTAGTGCACTACATATTTTTTCTTCGATTCCAAAGTGGCCATGAGTTTACACACTTTGGAACCCTTAGGTACGCTTGCATACGGCAAAAACGGTAGCTCATTATGCGCGTCGTGCAGACTCTGCGGGTACGAGACGTCTACCTCGTACACTCTCCCCACATCGTCCGTCTCGCGCATAGTCTCGAGTTGTGCTAACGCGACGTCCGGATTGCCCTCGTACCATCGGAATCCGCCGTAAGGCATGTACCGGCTCATGGCCCATCCGTAAAGATTATTGCCTATAACGCAAAGTAGGATGAAAAATAAAAATATTAACGATTGTATATATATTATCAATAATTACAATCTTGGTAGACCAGCCATGTGCTGGGTTGGGTAGTGTCAAACCCGGCGATCTTCGCGTTGTTCGCCTTCGCGTAACGCGTGCTAGCCTGTACCAAAC